CCAGGGCCAGCCAAGCTCCATGGGAGCTGCCCACGACGAGGGACGACACATCCAACAGCCACCATGAGGGACATGGCCACAGCTCCATCCCCAGGGGACATGCCAACACGCTTCTTCCTGCACCTAAGCTGAGCACCTCACACAAACCTCTCCACTCTATTAAGACAGGATTTTAAAGCTTTGAGAAGTTTGTTTCTACATGCCTTTGAATTCTGTTCTCAGGATTTATTTTTTTTTAATTCATATTTCGTTTTCCATTCCTATTCACTCCTCATGCACAGAGCTCCCGCTGACATCAAATGTCTGGTTTGCCCTGAATGATCATTTATACACAGGTAAGTTTTAAATCTACTCTTACTTTAAAAATTACATCCAAGTGTCCATGTAAGCACAAATTCCATCAACCATCAAAAACACCTTTCACTTACAGGCATAGTAGGCAAGTAAGAAAAGATTATATTGCATATTTAAAAATTCATTACTCCTAGAACAACTTCAAGCTATTTTTCCCCAAAGTTGTTGGATCTCCTTCCTGTCCTGAAGACAACATTTCAAGGCTACTCTGGAGAGACAGGTAATATGCAAGATTTGGATATTTTCTGACTTTAGAGTTCTCCACACAGCCCATCACTTTCACATGGATACAACTCCAGTATCAGACACGTCCAAAGCATGAACCAAAAACCCTTTTGCAAAGGCTGAAGGTATGGCCATGGAGGCTGCAGCTTGAAGTTCTTCGTGTGGCCAGCACTGCATTCCAGGGCTGTTTGGAAATACACTCTCTCCTGTATAAAAGGGTTTAACAACTTCTGCAGCCAAGCTGGACTCACAGGGCAGGTATTTGCCTGCTCTTTCATAAAAGACAATGATTTAATTCTACAATATGATGCCGCTGCCACATATGGGGCACGTGCAGAAAGAAGATCAGGCACCAGGGTATGTGGAAATCTAAACTAGAAAGTAACTACTCATCAGAAAGAAAAGCAGAGAATTCCTGAAAGGAATGAGCTTAGAGAAATGGGTTGTGGCCCAGATTCAACACAATGGACTAAATCACTTTGACAAATCCTCTAGTGCTTCCTGCAAGTGTATAACCCCAGCAACAGGCAGTTTGGAACACTTCTATGAGGAACCAAGTCCTCTCTTGTGTTTCAGTGGATAGAAGAGGAGAGAGCGAGCCCTGGACCTCACTGCCAATCCCCGAGAATGGCTGTTCTCACACTTTTATAAACACTTGGTCTCCATGGAAGAGGGATACCTAGCAGCAAACATTGGCAACCAATGGACATTTCATTCCCACTATGTCGTCCACAATAGCAAGGAGGAAATCCATGAGGCTGCTTTGATTAGGAACATTTTGAGAAGACTTCTTCAAAAGCGTCTGAAAATACCTTGAAACGTGGGAATGTGAAACAACAGCCGGATGGGGGAAAACAGGCATCTTACTTTATTCTGAAAGCATTTACACTTCAGTCCAAAGTGGGAATATCCATTAGTCCAAGAACCTTTTGCCAAGAACAAGGTCATTGTTTTCTTTTTAATTCACAACAGAACCCAGCATACAACATATTCTGCACCAAACAGAGGATCTCATCATTTACAGGTGTTTGGAGCCACGTTTCAGTTTAATGCATACTCTGAACATGTAAAAACTTTATTATATTGGGTTTTGTCTACCCTGCAGGTCAGAGCTCTGCTGCTCTTTAAAAGCCAGCAATAAGAATAAAGCAAGAAGTGCACAAGGAGTTCTGCCCCACGAGGGGTTTAAACAGACAAATTCTTTCCCTGTCAAAAGTATTTGTACATTAACACTCTTGGACTGTTGATAATCCTAAAATTTAACACTTATTCCTGTGTATACATTAATACAACAATCTAAACCAAGCTCAAATTTTGCACCACATTAAGAAAATTAAGCTTTAGTGAGCTCAAATTTTACTTCAGCTGTTTGTTCGTTGCAGTGACAGTGAGCCCCAGCCATGGAGCAAGGCATCATTGTGCTGAGCCCTAGGAATTAAATGGTGCAAGTTGCTCTATCAAAATAACCACCAGAAAAAAAAAATTATACTCAACTGGAAACAAAAGGAAGGACTAGAAGTGGGAGAAGCATTTATGCTCTGAGAACTTGGGGGTTGCAAATTCTCAATTTCACCGTCATGGTTAGGAAAATGTGGCAGCAAAGCAATGCAACCTTATTTCTAAATAAACAAAAAGATTGGTCAGTCTGCTGATGCAAGACAGACTAAAGAGAACAAGAGAACTATTAAATTATCTCCACTTCTGGGACTCTGGCTATTCTTTTGCAAAGTGAATGGCTTATGCTAATCAGGATGCATCTGAAATGCATCATTCAAGCCTTCTTGTACAAATATAGATCTTATTTATCCCAAAAGATCCCCACCAGCTGGCAATGTTTGCATACAATGTTAAACCCAACCTCAAGAGCCCATGCATTATGAGTCATTTTACGCTTAAAAACATTAGTTCCCTTCAGTGTTCTCCAAGACGGTGTATCCCATGAGAAGAATTTTAGTGGAATTTACCAATAATACACTATGTTACCATCCAACTTCCTCTAGCACAAAGAAGTTACAAGTTTTCTGTTGTTCAGTGGGTTGGGTTTTTTTTTCTCCTAACAGTGCTTTTCCTCCAGAACATCTTTGGGGAAGGAACAAAAGGATTTGCACCAATCCCTTCTATATGAATCAAATATTTATGCTATGCCCTCTTGAAGCACTTTCATCTAGTAACCTATGGAATGTGATCTCCTGACCTCAACACTCAGGCACGTCTAAATCAGCTGCCCTTTGAGCTGTATTAGAGGCTGCAGAGAATTTTTATACACTTGTATCACAGGCATATGAAAACCTTGTGGCCCAGCTGCGGTATTCTCTGCTACGAAGCATTAGTCCAAAGTGTGCTCTAGGAAAGGGGAATGCTTTGGTTGTCCCACGTTTATGGCACAATCCGATGTCACCAGGAACAGGCAAGATGATGAACCACGCTATCAGCATGTTAACCAGCCAGCACAATTTCAATTAAAGTGTCATGGCAAACTCCAGCCCCACATCCCTCCACATGGCCCATTCTGCCCACTCCCATTCTGCCTCCAGCCCCCTCCCCAGGGCAGATACAGCTGCCTGCAAAACACCTCCAGAATCCAAAAGGCAAAGAGCATGTGGGATGAGCAGGCACCCCATTCCCTCCATCTGGAAATCCCACCCTTTCCTCAAGAAAAATAAATCATCCTATGCTGTCTTTGTGGCTCCCAGGAATCTTTGAAGGATGGGGTTATGTTGCAAATAAGTGTCCTGGAAGTAAAAGAGAGGGAGACCAGGTGTCCCAGATGAACCTGCAACTTCAACTACGGCACAAATTTTTCCAGGGTCAATTCATGACCCCTCTCCCTCAGAGAAGCAGTCACTGAGGTAACCCTGGTGAAAGTCTGACCCAGAGATTTAACAGGGTCACAGTCCTGATGGTAGGCTTCATGTTTTCACAGCAGCCCTGAAAAACTGACGTGATGCTGCCCATCACTCACACGGGAGCAGCACAAGGGTGTAGAGAAAGCTCGAGAACACAGCTCTTTGTGTTGCCACCCTGACGTGCTAGAAAAGGCTCAGTTCTCTGAAACAGTCAAGCAGAAAAATGTGAGACAGCAGCCAAAACCAAGACCCCATCCAAAATCCTGGTCAGTCACCTGCCCCAGTCCTCTCGCAAGGTGCCCCACTGGCTGCTGCACCTCAGCAGAGACTGAGGCACCCCCAGTTCTCCGAGGGTCCAGCAGCTCACAGCACGCTGACTTGCTGCCCCACCTATCCCACTTTCTTTTCCCACAGAAATCTTTCCAGGGAAGCAGAAAAAAAACAAGAAAAAAAAAAAAAACTTAAAAAAGAAAGAGGAACAGGGAGCAGGACAGACCGATATGTACCATTTCCTGTATCATCCACAGGAAAAACCCACGCAGCAGGGAAGAGCTCAATGTCAAGGCTGGTTTCACCACATGAACAGGCAGTTCCTCCTGCTGGGGGATGCTGTGTGATTCCACAGGGAACAATACAATCTTCCCTGACACAAGAGTCCCACTGCCAGCCACACAAAATTCCACAGGTCTTTCCCTTGCAGAAATGGCTGGTAGCAAAGGAAAGAGGGGAATGAGGAATGTGGGTACGGAGCTGGGGGAGAAGAAAAGTGAGACATTCATTGTGGAATTATCACTTGTAAACCAGGACACCCTCAACACTTGGCCCCTTCAGAAAGGAGGATTCTGCAAAATATGTTTCCCTGCACAGAGACTGGGCCTCCATCCAGTTATTATGTGCACATGTCCCTGCTGCGTTTTCAGTCTTACTTCAGGAAAAAAAAAAAATCTCAAAACAAAGAAAACATCCCCTCGTATTCATTCTGCACAGTGCCAAGCGTGCTCCTGACCATGCTCAATAATCTGTTAAGGAGTGTTAATTATGGGTGCAACACTTTTACACCTTGTGACACAGCAGTAAAGCACTTAATGTAAAACAAATTCCAGTGTGAAACAAGAAATCAGCCGATCGTGGCAGCCCTGTTTGCACGTGTGATACACAAATGCACATACATGATCCTCTGTGCAGCACGACCAGCAAAGACAATCTCAACACGTGGATTACAAGCACAATGACTGCAATTATTTTCTCAAAAGAAAAGAGCACCACAAGAAACGGCTGCTTCCAAACACATCCTGACACAAACCCACTTCGGCGACTTCCACCGAGTTTTACTCAATCCAATTACACACAAGTACATCACTATTCATTCTGGCAATTTACTACCACTGGTGAAATAGGTGGATGAGTGTATTCCTTTTTTTTTTTTTTCCTCAAGAATTTTGCAAGATGAAAAATAAACTTTACAGGAGAAAGAAGTGATGGACAAAAGCTGACACAGAAGAGAGCCAGTCTAAATCCCAGGTTAAGGCTGAAGAAAGAATGCAGAGTCCCTTGCAGCATGAGCACATCTCTTACCTACTGATCTGCTGAAGACAAAAGGTTTTTCTTCTTTTCAGAAACTGGACACTTGTAGCTCGTTGGGTCAGTCACACAAAGCTTCCCTGCTGCCAAAGGTATTCTTTTTCCCCTCGGGTTTTTGTTGTTGTTGTTTGGTTTTTTACCCCGGAGAGTAAAGGGCAGAACAGTGGATTCAGCAGGGGCAAAGGCTGGAATTCGAGATTTAACGGGCTGGAGAACTGCAGAGCTCTCTCCAAAAGATGCTGTATTTCAAGGCGCTTTCATTTGCAAATCCTTCTTCATCCTCAGTGTCAATAAAACTGGAGGAGGGGGAGTAAACTTTTTTTAACCGCAGAAACAAACCGGACTCCACAGAACGGGGAATGTGATACGAACCGGATTTGTGGCTCTACTCTTTCTTTTATTAAAAATAAATATACTTTTCAGAACAGGCAATCGAGCGGGAAGAGGGTAAAAAACAAAATAAAAAATCCCAGAGTCAGCCCAGGACCTGCCCGCGGTCGCTGGGAGGAGGACAGCGGTACCTCGAGAGCGGCAGAATAAACACAAAGAGGGGAAAGTCCGCGTCCCGGCGGTGGCAGCTCGGCTGTCAGTGGCAGCGCCGCCCGGGGCAGTCGCAGCGCCCGCGGCCCCGGCAGCGAAGGGCGGCCCGCGGCATCGCGCCCGGGCGGGCTGGGCTGGGCTGCGCTCGCTGCTTCTCCGCGGTTACCTGTGCGCGGCGGCGGAGCAGCACCGGGCAGGCTCGGCGGCACGGAGCACAGCGGAGCGTTCGGCTCGGCTCCCTCCTCCGCCTCCTTCCGCTGCTGTGGGCGCGGGCGGCCCGCGGGACGCGCTGGGCCGGGGCGGGCAGGAAGCGCCGCCGCCCCCGGGCCCGCCCCGCCCGCGGCACCGCCCCCGCTCCGCTGCGCCCGCCCGCCGCTATTGTGTGCGGACACACGGACACACGGACGCACCGAGGCAGCCTCCGCGGGTCCTCGCCCCGCACACGCACCCCAACAACCCCACTCTGTGCCCGGGAGCGGTGTCCAAACGCTCCTGGAGTTCTGGAAGCCTTAGGGCTGTGCCCATTCCCTGGGGAGCCTGGGCAGTGCCCAGCACCCTTTAGGGGAAGAACCTTTCCTTAATTCCCAACCTAGACCTCCCTGACACAGCTCCAGCAGTTCCCTTGGCTCCTGTCCCTGCTCACTGAGAGAGAGATCGGAGCTGCCCCTCCAATGTCCCTCGGGAGGATGCTGAAGACCACAATGAGGTCTCCTCCAGGCTGAACACACCAAGTGACCTCAGCCACTCCTCGTAAGAGTCCATCTAGACCTTTCCCCATCCTCGTGGCCTGCTTTGTACACTCTTCTCAAAGCTTATTTTTTTTTTTTTATATTGAACTGCCCAAAACTGCTCAAAACACTGGAGGCGAGAACATCCCAGTGCAAAGCACAGCAGGACAATCATCTTCCTGCCTGGCTGGTGATGCTGTGCCCGCTGCCCTCCAGGACAGCCCTGATCCCTCTGCAGGAGGAGCCACCTGGGCAGCTCTGGAAGCACCTACAGGAGTCGGCCCCATCAAAACCAACCTGCCAAACTGCTGGACTGAAATGGGTTTATAGCAATGTACACCTGCCCAGGACTCACCCCCGTTTTTGCTGGACAGATGCTGAAAATAAATGAAAGCGAGGCAAGAACTCATCATGACTAACTGCATATAGGCAAGGTATTAAAGGAGATCCCTGTATATAATGTTCTGCTTAAAACCAAAATGTACATCATGTGATCTTCCAAAGCTTAGGCCATCCTAAGAGGAAATATCCACACACCTCTGCTACTCTGACACACCTGGAAATAATGGTCAGTGTGGAAAGATGAGACTGAAGACACTTCAGTTCTCCCCAAATACAACTCTGATTTTGCTGTGTTTCAGCATTTTATCACATGATAAAAGATGGTGGCCACATTCAGAGGTGGCTTTTGCTGAAGGCTTTTGTGCCTGGAATCACAGTGTGGAATTTCAACTCCTAAAACAGTTTATCTTTAAACATTCCACAGCCTTTACAGCAAAGCATGGACGCTTCACCTTTGTGCATGTGACCCCATTCAAAAGCCTGTAAAATGATCCCAAAATGCTGCTAAAAAGACTTAAAGCAGTCCTGTTTTGGAAGATCTGATAGAGGGTTAGTAATGGCAGTAACACCGTCAGGTCTGCAGTGGAACCAGTCTTTGCATCAGAGAGGCAAAACTCTTGTTCTGAAATGGGCTAAGCAACACCAGCTTCTCCTCACCCCGTCCCTGTAATCAGGGCAAATCCCCAGTCTAAACAAGGCTGAGAGATAACAAACTGGTCCTTCAGTAGGGATTTATTTGTGTACAAACAATCGTACCCTGCCTTTCTCACAATCCACCTCCTCCTCCAGCTCTTTGCATAGGGAGCACTGGAATCCTCCCCCAGTGAGGCCATTCCTGTCCTGAGCTCCCAAGGAGGACAATCTCCCAGTGACAGCTTCCACTTGGCTCCTGGTCATTACCTTGTAATTTCAAAAAAAAAGAGCAAAACAAAAAACTGAATGCAGCTGTCACAGTGTGTCCACAGCTGATTTAATACATAAAGGCTTGATCATGCAAATATGAAGCCCACTAAGCACTACCGATTTGGTAAGGTTTGGCCTAAGAAGCCACCAGTTTCCAAAAAGAACTGAAAGTGCAAAAACTGGCCACATGTAAAATCCTTGCACTGTGAAATTTGGCTTGCATATGAGAAGAGATTCACCCATTTACCTTTTAGTCACTCTGAGCAAATAAATCCTTTCTCACATTCCCAACTCTTAACATTGAAAAGAAAGACTTGTACAAAAATTCAGGAAGTTGAATTACAGAAATCCCAAATGCATCATGTATAAATATCTATTTTTCCCCTACCTCATAATCAACATTCATGCACTGGAATGTTTTAATGGAAGAAACGCAGAAAACATGTAAACAGCTCATTAACATCTCATAACTTTACAGTTTGAAACGCCAAGGGAAAAAAGAAAAGGCAGTGGAGAAGCAGCTACTGAAGGCCACATTTGCTGGATGCTGTGGGGCAGCGTTGTAAGGGAAATGCACAGCTAGAGCAAGAGAAAGAGTTATAAATGTGCTTCAGTCACACATCCTGTCTCCCTCCCACATGCTCAGAGAAAATATGGGAGTAAAGAGAGGAGGCAGAGTCATCAGGAAAGCACAACTATTGCTTCATGCAGGCACTGGGGAGCAGCGAGCCTTGCCCGAGGCGTGTAAACCTCGGCTTCTCTGCTGCCTATTCCAGGAGCACTGCTCATGTTCAACCCACACAGCTGGAGATACCAGCCTTATCGGGACTGCAAAAGAACAAAGCTACATGAAATCCAAACTCTCTTCCTTCAAATCCTGTCCCCCTGTATCCTCCCTTCACCCAGCTCCCCGCCCAGCCCGGCGCTCAGGAGCTCCAGCGCACATCTGAACGGCTGCCAGCGGAGGAAGCGAGCAGTTTCCATACACACATCACGCCACAATGTGGGAATTCAGGAAACAACACAAGAAAAGGGTTCCTAATAACTGTTCCAGCGTGCTCGGGCCAATTTATGCAATCACACAAAGGTCACGGTGGTTGTGCTAAAAAGCACAAAGGATAAGTGCTACAACGGCAACTAATTCAAAGTAGGAGAATAAATCTCGGGCTTAGGAAAACCTGGAGTTGCTCCACCTACAATTTTTTAAGAGGTTGTCCTTCACATTCTTTAAAATTCCTCCATCTTAAAGTTCCTCCCTCCAGGAATGGCTGTAAGTCTGCCGCCCTTTGTCCGCAGCAGCTGGAGCTCAGGAAGCTGCTGATATTATCCCTCCTGTACAGACACACCAGAGCTCAGCTCAGCATCCACTCAGCACAGCGCACAGGGGCCTCAATTAATTTCCATGCATCTCTGATCTCGGGCCAGTTTAACAGAACTTTTCTTCTTTGCATGTAAATATAAAGGGTTAGCAGCACTCAGAAGTGGCATTCAGCTCTTGGGGCCAGACAGAACATCCTCACCAAAGTCAGGGTTTTTTTGTCTATAAAATATATTATTGGGCAAAATAACGACCCTACAGTAAACAGACAGTCATACAAGAAGTAGTTAAAAAAACCTAAGAAAAGAAGCTGAGGATGTTTTCCAGGAATGAGATCAGGAGCAAGGAACAGGCATTTCTGCAAAGGGAGAGTGTATTTCTTGTCACAGAAGCCAAAGTCAGAATCCCAGAATGGTTTGGGTTGGAAAGGACCTTAAAACTCATCTCATTCCATCTTCCTGCCATGAGCAGGAACACCTTCCACTATCCCAGGCTGCTCCAAGCTCCATCCATCCCAGCCCTGGACACTTCCAGGTCAATTTGACAGATACTCATCGAAGAAAAGGAAGTGAGTGAACCAACATTTGGGAATACAGACCAAAAGAAGCCAAAAATATTCCAAACCTTGTAAAAATCACAAGAAAGGTATGGAGAAAGCACCAAGGTACCAGAAGGTTGAATGGTTGATCCAAAGTCAGGTTGAGAGTTCAGTCTGCACTTGCAGAGGCCCTGCCTTGCTGCCCACATGTACAGTGAGCTCAGACATGCAGTTCTGCAGCTTTTGCTGCTGTTTTACCACCTGGTTTTAGTACCCAGCACCTTCAGGGTGGCCATGGCCATCTTTCAGTCATATGCAGAGGATTTGGTGCTGCTGCCACATCCAGCCCTGAGCTGTGACAAGGCCTGAAAGGCTCCCTTGGGTCCTGCCATTGAGTGTGGCTGGAGAGCAACTACGATTTCTGAAGGCAAACAGAATCAGACAGACGAGAGATTGAGGCATGAAGTACATGAGTTATCATTCACCAAGATGGCAAAAATGGCTATTCACAGACCAACAGCACCTGAAATTAACACCATCAAACCTGACATGCGTGGAACTGCTAGAAAAATTCTACTCAAAACACACGAGCAGGAACAGTTACACACTACTTATTCCTTTGGCCTTCACTAAGTTAACTGCTGTGCCTTTCTACACAAGTGTATTATTTTACCAATTCTATACAATAAAACTTTGATGACCACACATTTCTGGGAGGGAAGTAATTGATATAGAAACCTCTGCAAAGGCAACTTCATGTCCTGTCTCTTCTGTGATTTACACTGTAACACAGCCCCAGCTCAAAGATTTTTCATGCTGCTGCGTGTAAAGAGTTTTAAAAGTCTGTCAGTCTGGGAGGTACCTCTAATGGATGGTAACTCAAGTGCAGCGTGGTTCCTGGGGTGAAGAAAAGGCCTGCAAGGAAGGGGGAGAAAAGGAACAGCTTACCACAGTGAAATGTAATATAGAGGTCAGCAGCGACATGTCACCCTTGAGGTGATTGATCAGGTACCACCTGTAAGGAGAATTATTCTAACTGCTGAACCTTGGCCCTTCTCTGTGCAGAACTGCAGAGGAGAGCTGTGTATCCAGGAGAGTGGTAAACAACTGCCAACTATGGAAAAACAAATGTTTCAGCTCTGCCCTAAACACACTCACACCTCAGTGCCTTACAGTTAAATGTAATTTGGGCAAAGTAAGGTTAGTCTGGACAAAGTGATTTCCTTACAAAAGTCTGT